GTTGATCCTTGAACAACACAGATTTGAACAGTGGGAGTCCACAAGTGTATTTTTTTTTCCCAATAAATACTGTAAATGTATTTTCTCTTCCTTCTACTTTTCTAGAGAGATTTTTGCTATAGGGCATGCGTGCTTGCTGGAGAAAGAGAGAGAGAGGGGGAGGGAGAGACAAAAAGTGAAAAATCACCCCTCAGGCGGGATGGCCATGCCACAATCTCTTCTCCTCCATTGTCCTCTTGGGATTTTCGGGCATGCAAGCACATGCGCTGGGCATGAGTTTTAAGCAACTAGGTCTGGGACTTGAACTATAGTTGGCCATGTGGGAGTCCAGCAACATAACCATTATGCCATCTGCTGGTCTGCTTTATACTTTTCTTAATAATATTTTCTTTCCTCTAGCTTACTTTTTTGTAAGAATATAGTACATAATACATATATCACATAAAATATATGCTAACGAACTGTTTATATTGGTAATGCTTCCAATCAATAGTAGGATATCAGTAGTTAAGTTTTGGAGGGGTCAAAAGTTATATGCAGATCTGACTGTGCAGAAACTGTCCCTAATCCCTGTGTTGTTCACAGGTCAACTGTACTACATACAAAGGTATAAAGAGAAGAATGACAGAAGACTTTTCATCAAAACTATGTAAGCCAAAAGAAATTGAACTACGCCTTTTAAGTATCTTAAAGCCAAACAAACAAATTTCAAACTGGAGGTTTAATAAAGGCTTTTAAAGATAAACCAAAGCAGAAAGACTTCACTGCCATCAGACCTGCCCAACAAGAAATGTTAAAACAAGTTCTTCAGGCAGAAGAAAAAGAATACCAGATAAAAATATGTATTTACACAAAGAAAGAAAGAAAAAAAGATCAGAAGTAAAGTGTGTAGGTAAATAGAAGACTTTCCTCCTCATTAAAATTTGTTGAAATTGTAAAATACACACAGCATAAAACTTAATGGCTTACTAATTTTTTAGTGTACAGCTCAGTAATATTAAGTGCATTTACTGTACAACCAATATCTAGAAGTCTTTTTCATCTCACAAGACTGAAACTGTATCTACGAAACAGTGACTCCCCATTCCTCCCTCTCCCCGAACACAATGATCACTATTCTTCCTATCATTGTGACTATTCTGAGCATCTCACTTCACGCATTTGTCCTCTTGTGACTTGCTCATTTCACTTAGCATAATGTCCTCAGGTTTGTTTGTGTTGTAACATGTGTCATAATTTGCTTCTTTTTTCAGGTTGAATAATACTCTACTGTATGGACACACTGTATTTTGTTTATCCCTTAATCTGCTGACGGACACTTGGGTTGTTTTTGCCCTTTGGCAATTATGAATAATGCTATGAACTTGGGTGTATAACTCTAGAACAACCATAAAAATATAAAACAAAGAGATATAGCTACTAAGCCAACAGTGGAGGTAAAATGAAACTGTAAAATACTAAACCAATCTAAAATGAGGCAGGAAAATGAAAGGAAAAAAGAAACAAACAGGAGACTAATAATAACACAGTAGATTTAAACCTGACAATACTGATAATTACATTAAATGGAAATGATATGTAAATGTCATAAACACTCCAATAAAAGGCAGACATTGTCAGATTAGATTAAAAAAAAGCAACAAGTGGGTCAGCTGGTGGTGTGGTGGTTAAGGCCCTGGACTCATGCAAGGCCAAATGTGGTTCAAGTCCCAGACCTGGAAGCTTGCTTCCGTACTTTCTCTCTCTCTGGTGAGCAGCGATAGCAAATAAAATAATAATTTAAAATGAAGAAGTACATAGGTAACAACCTATTACTTGTGATTAGGGACCAAACAAATAATGCATGTTCACACAAAACACCACTGTACTCATAGAGGTTTTATTTATAATTGCCCCAAATTGGAATTAACCCATTATGTCTTTCAACCCTGAAGTGGATAAACAGTCTGTGTTACAGTCATATGATGAAATACTACTCGGCATTAAAAAGTAATAAACAGCTGACATACACAACATTGGCACTGATCACAAATGCATTATACTAAATAAAAGAAGCAGACTTGAACAGCTGTATACTGAGTGATTCCATTTATGTAACATTCTGAAACACAGGGACAGAAAACAGATCAGTGATTGCCAGAAGTTGAAGGTTGGGAGGGGGGTTAACTAACTGCAAAGGAGCGCAAGGAAACTTTTCAAGGTGATAGAAATATGTTAGTTATGCTGGTGGCTGTTAAAACACATACATCTAAACTAAAAGGTACATTTTATTACATGTAAGTCAGACTTCAATAAACCTTACTTTTAATAAAATGATGATACCTTCAAATTGTATATTATGCAATCATTGTGAGATGGAGCCGGTCAGTGGAGTGGTGGTTAAGGGTCTGGATCTCACAGGTCTGACTATTTGGTTTGAGTCCTGGACCCAACAGCTTGAGAAACATGTCAGGTGCATGTACATACATGGCCAACTCTTGAGACAAGGAAGGAGGCATAGCCATCCTCCCATGGGGGTGCTTTTTCACTTTTCTCTCTCTCTCACTCTCTGGCAAATGCACACGCTCTATAACAAAAGTTTAAAATAAATAAAATTAAATGAAAATTTAAAAATACATATATATATATTGGGGCCAGCCAGGTCGAGTGGTGGTTAAGGTGGATGGATCTCACATTGCCAGCTGTGTAGTTCAAGTCCAGAGGCTTGAAAAACATGACAGGCATGTGTACGTGCATGTCTTAAATTCTGAGAATAGAAGATAAGGGGTTATGGTATGGCCATCTCCCTTAAGGCGTGGTTTCTCATTTTTTATTTCTCTCTCTTTCTGTCTCTCTCTGGAGAACACATGTGCCCTATAGTAAATTAAAAAATAATAAGGGGGGGCCCGCATGTGGCACAGTAGTTAAGGCACTGGACTCTCACATGGCCAACCATGGTCTGAGTCCCAGACCTAGCAGCTTGCTTTCTCACTTTCTCTCTCTCTGTATCTCTCTATCTCTCTGGTGAGTTGAAATAATAACAAATAAAATTAAATGAATAATTAAAAAAAAAAGGGCCAGCGTATGGCATGATAGTTGAGGCACTAGACTCCCATATGGTTGACTATGGTTTGAGTCTCAGACCTTGTGGCGTGCTTTTTCACTTTCTGTCTCTCTATCTACCTATCTATCTATCTCTCTCTGGTGAGTACACATACCCTATTGCAGATTTAAAAAATAAATTAATTAAAATTTAAAAATAATAATAAAATTAAAATAAAATTAAAATTTTTTTAGAAAAGTGGTATGAATTCACACACCCTGGCAACAGAATAATCTCTAATGTACACCATTAAGAGTAAAAAGCAATAAATACAGTACGTTCCCATTTATGGAAATTTGGCTGTCTAAGGGAAGGTGTCTGGAATGGCAATATATCCTCCTTTATATTGTTCTTTTTTGTTTTATTTTGTTTTGAAGCCACATGCTTATACTACTTTCAATTAGAAAAAGTAAAAGAAACCTACACACAAGTCAAGGAGAACTTGGGTGTCTAGGCCAGGGGCCTGGGTTGTGGAGGCTTGCAAACACATGTGTAAGAACATAGCATACAGTGCCAGACACTTCAGACGTGCTCAATAAATAGCTGCAGGAAGCAAAGTATTTGGAGTCAATTCAGAAGGCAGCCCCCAGACAAAGAGATCTCTATCTGAGCACCAGTACTCAGCCAGCACAGCTCCTGCTTTACACGAGGAGCTAAGCTAGGCTTGCTCACGTTAGAAAAGAATGGAGCAGAAAACCCACATATCCTGAATTTACTTTGGGCCAGCAGTTTCTCAGCATTCCTTTGCAAGCACATTGTGTGCCCTAACCTCAGCCTTCTAAGGGAGAGGAGCAAAGTCCTTTCCCCAGCGAGTGGAACCCACCCCTAGAGACCACCCCTAGGGCTCCCCTGGTGGTCTCAGTGGTATTTTCTGGCACCCAGAGGGTCCTGAGCAGTCTTCCTTCCAGCTCTTCCACGTTAGAAACTCTTATCACTGGGGCCAGCAGTTGGTGTAATGGTTATGTCGCTGTATTCTCACATGGTTGACCATGGTTTGAGTCCTGGACCAGGCAGCTTCAAACTCACTCCGGGCACTTATGTGTGCATGCCCAAAATCTCTAGGAGACTGGAGGAGAAGGGACTGCAGTATGACCATCTCTCTGGCAAGCACAAACACCCTATAGCAAAAATTGCTCTTAAAAAACAAAAACAAACAAACAAAAACCCCCGAAACTCCTATCACTTTTTCTGAAGGGACAAAATGACTTTGACAGTTTAAGAGAAGTCCAAGGCAGGACAAGGCAATCTCAGCACTTCAAACCCTTTTCCACACCAAGGGTTCAGGAAGGAACGCTCCTAAGGAGAATGTAGATAAGTAAGTGAGGCCCCTGAGCAGTACGTGGTAAAGGGGCTCTATGGGTTAGAACAGATTCTTTCAGCAAGCCTGAGACTAAGGAAATCAGGAGCTCCAGGATATGAATCGGACAGAGAGGGAAGATGCTGACACTCGGGCAGCCTCAGAGACTGCCCTCTGCTCCTGTCCTCTACTTTATTGGGATATGCCTCCCTGAAGCCAGCTAGTTTGTCCCAACTTCCAGAAAAGTTTGTTTGGCCACAGATGCTAAGACTTCTATGCTTGACAGCCTTGTCTGGCTGCCTCCAGAAACCTGGCTTCCATGGGCAACCATGAAGGCTCTATGTCCTCCCTCCCTTCCACAGGACCTGGCTGTGCTTCCAGGTTCACGCTCCGAGACATGGGACTGACGGAAGGCAGAGCAAGGGTATAGCATGGGGTTGGGGAAGAAAGTGACAAAAATCTAAGTCCTTTCCAGGGAGCAACGGATTCTAGGACACAGGCATGAAGTTACCACAGAATCTTATTTCTTCAGGACAACATGATGGGCTACGAGGGGCCGGGTTTCTGCTACGGGCCTGGGACCAGGCAGTCTGGGCAGTGAAAGGAAACAGGAGCACTCACCGGGGGAAGATGGCGGTCATCAAGGCTGAGGCATAGCCTGGCTTGCAAGCTCCCTCTGAAAAGTTTGCGTACTTGGTGGCTAACTCAGCAGGCCTGCGGGAAGAGAAGGAGAGTCATAGCTTGCAGGCACTGAGCAGTCAGCAACTCATTCATTTGTGAAGAGCTATAGGTGTTTAACCCTTACATAAAGTTGCCTTCCCTACAATCAGCACTTCAAGTTCTTTTCCACACCAAGATTTCAGGGGTAAAGACAACAAACCTGTAGAATTAGGAACAGGCAGACACATACACGAGGCCCTGAGATGGATCTGTAAAAGGAACTCACTAGGTTTCACATCGATCCTTTTGCACTAAGCCTAATAACCAAAGAAACCAGGAACTCCACCCAGGTTCCAAGATGGGGGTGGGGGTGAAGCGCTACAGGATAGAGCCTCTCAGGCCTTGGTAAAGCCAGGGCACTGCCCTTTCCACCTTCCTGTGTGTGTGCCTACAAGACTGGCTTCATCGTCTATTCTTTCCTCGCAAACTGAGAGCCACCCAGTGGGAACCATTCGTAGTGACCTGACTACACAACATGTGTGCTACTGGGCTACTAATGCGGCCATTGGACAGGCACTCTGCCTGCAATGTTATTCTTTGTCCCCTCCACCTGGCTAATGCCTACTGGTCCGTCACAATGAAGCTCAGATGTCGGCTTCCCGGGAGAGGAGTGATTTCCTGAGTCCCGCCTGGGCTAAGTGCCTCCTCTGTGCTCTTAAGGCCCCTCTCCCTGCCCCCCACTCACACATTTTCTCCCATCAGCTCCTGCCATGCTGCTTTCGGACTGGTGGGAGTATGTCTCCTTTGTATCCTATAAATTCCTGAGTCAGAGCCTGATCTGACTCCTCCCCCACTGCTGTGTGTCCAGAGATGAGCACGGAAAAAGATGCCTACAGCTTTCTAAAGGAACACAAGAGACCCCGATAGTCTCACTGCCCTCTGAACTACAGAGAAGGCGATCTCAGGAACCTACAACCGGAGACTGTGTGTATTTTCCAGAAGACTGTACTCCAGCCCTGGCTCTGCTCCTGTGTGACCACTATCATGCCTTCCCCATCTCTGGGTTTCAGTAGGGGACTGGAGTCACCGCCCGCCACTAGAAACTGCCCTGTGCAGTCTGGAGAAAATCCCAACTGAAGAAGAGGATCTATTCAGTGGCTGGGTTCAGTGACTGCTGGGGCTAGAGGCCCTGCATGCCGGGGCACCTGAGTGAGCCCTGGCTGGCTGCCCATTCAGAGTCTCGGCCTCCTCTGCCCCCACCCTTGGGCCCACTGCCAACACTCTGGTGCCAGCTGCTAGACTGTGCTGGGGCCTTGTGGCAATTCTGTCCTCAGGCCGCCTTCTGCAGGGACAGGGAGGGTGGTGTGGTGTGGTGGTGGCGGCTGTGTCAGAGAGCCAGAAATGACAGTGCCACTGCCTACCATGGGTCATGCCTGATTCACCCCACAGGCCTAGTCCAGGGCCTTACACAGAGTAACTGCCCAGCAATTATAGACCAACTCCTCTGTATCCATGTGCAATTCCTTTTAGAAACCTGCATTCTTAAGCTTTCCCTGCCAATGAAATTCAAAGCCTGGGATGCAAATGCTGAGTGACCAGGGACTTTTATTTGGTAGGCAAAAGAAAGCCACAGGTTTTAACAAGAGAAAAAGAGTATTTTCTTACATAAACAGCTGCATTTTATAAATGATATATAAACTTTAATACAAATACTGAACTTACTACAAGCTTTTAGACTAGGTACCATAATGACAACATTCTAGATTTTTTTCAACTACTCCTCTTGACAATTCTATATGTATGTTCTATGAGTTACTCATTTACACATGAGGCTCAGAAAGATGAAGAGACTTATCCAAGATGATGCACTTGGACAATATTTAAACCCACTTCTGTTTTTTTTTAAGTTTGTTTTTGTTTTTTTATTAGTCACAGGGTATGTGTGCTTGTGGGAAGGAGAGACAGAGAGAGGAAAAACGAATACCCAGGCAGTGCGGCATTTCAAGTCCCCTTATCTCCTGTCTTCCACTCTCCCACCTCTCTTCTGTGAGCTCCTGTGGTCTTATGAATTCTAGAAAGTTTCACAAAGAAGTTGAAAAATGGATGGCAGTTGTTTTTGATACAATGCATTGCAGAAATACATGTAAATAAGACAAGCCTTTGTCTACATCCTTCCTTTTTCTATTTTACGCCATCAATTTCTGGCAAAGTGCTTGAAGAATAAGAGCTGTGGGCAGTCCAGGCTTCAGGGACGCAGGCCATCTACATGGAGAAAAGGGAGCACTGGGTGGCTGGAGCATGGGGCAGCCAGAACCCAGCAGGAAGGCAGTGTGAGGTAGTCAGATACGAGGATGACGAGCTCTAACTCAACTCCCCATTCAGGAAGCCACAGTAACTTCTAAAACATATAACTCCGGGTACAGACCATGTCAAGTTATTACCAAATTAAAATGCCTCAGCAATGGCCTCCTGACTATCCCAGTGAGAGAAGAATAGGGAGAGTGTTGGGATTCTGACTCATACATCAGGCAGGGGGCCTCTGGGGCAGTCAGCGGGTCAAAACCACCAAGATTAATGGTTGCCAACTCCCCAGGGCCAGAGTAGTTAGTTTCTCTAAGGCACTCACACTCCAAATGCCAAGGAGGCCCCCCACAGATGTCTGATCAAACCATTCAGCCCTTGTTCTTCCCTACTCTGCAGCTGGCCTTTTGATTTGGGAGATTTAGCATTTCTACCACCAGTAAGAGCACTCATTGTCCTGCAAACGTGACTATCAAGTCCCTGGGGTGAAGACTATAAACCCCTGCATTCTCCAGAGGAAATCCAGACAGACAGACTGGAACCCAAGAGAAGGAACTAGACCTTCCCACCCTTCTACTGAGGAGGACCAAGTTTAAGAATCCAGCCAAGCATTGGATTGTCAACCGAAAGAGCATCAGATATGGAATCTGAAACACTCTCCAAAGACACTGGCAAGTGTGTGACCATGGGGAAGTGATGGAAAATCTGATTCTCAGCTTTCTTGTGTGCAATGGGAACCACATAATTCCCAGGAGATTGTGAGGATGTAGTGAGGAAGTACATTTAAAGGAGCTAGCTATTCTCTAAGCAAGCATCTAAAAGTTACACGAAAGACTAGGTGGCAGAGGCAAGCCACTAGAACATGGGGGCTGTCAGCACTTGGCTCAGGTATGGACTCTGTCACAAGGGAGAGTCACTGCCTGGTGTCCAGTGGAAGACGCCCCAATGATATGTGCTTGTGAAGGGTGACAGCTAGGAGGTGACGGGCAGCAATGCTGGGGGCTGAATGCGGCAGTTGGCGCGATAGAAAGATAATCAGGACAGAGGGTGATGGATGCCCCAGTGGCCAAGAGAAGTGTCTCCAGAGGGACATGGGGACCAATGTCTCACACACTGCAGTGGCATTGCTTGCTGGTGGGATATGGAAGTCACTGTTGACCCTGACAAGAGCTGTTTCATTGGAGTGTGGTGGTGAAACTGATTTTACTGGGTTTAAGAGAAACTAGGAGGAGAGCAACTGGAGTCATGGAATCTAGACTATTTTTAGGGTTTTGCTATAAAGGGAAATACAGAAATGGGGCAGTAGCTGGAGGGGAGAAGCAGAGTAAAGATAGCATTTTTCGAGGTTAGGAAATAATTTAATATGTTTATAAGTTGGTTAGAATAAGAGACAAACTCATGATACAGTAGAAATGGGATAGTTGTAGGAGAAATACCCTTGAGAAGGTGAGAGGGAGAAGAATCTAGGGCAGAAGTAGGAGGGTTGGCCTTAGCTCTGCCCCCTTCCCCACCCTGGCCAATGGATGCCAACACAGTTTAAGCATCACTTGCTTCATGACCTTCCTGTGATGCTTTCCCTCCCGGGTAGAACCAACCTGTCCCACCTGTGGACCCTAAGCTACCTAGAGCAGCTTTCATCCTAGTTTGCTGGCTCCCCCTACCTCCTTCCCCCACCTCCTTCCTCTGTCTCATTTACGCACTCAACAGATATCTTAAGATAATGGAGTCACTCACTCTGCTTAGGTTTCATCCTGGCTCTATTCCTCACTAGCTGTGTGATCCTAAATATGTTATTTAACTGTTCTGCATCCTTAATTTCCACATCTTTAAAACTGGGATTATACCAGTACTTACTTCATAAAATTGTTGTGAGGATTACATTAGGAATAAAGTATTGGTAGAGCTAACAGGTGGCATAGTGGTTGTGATGCTGGACTCCCACAAGGTTGACTATAGTTCGACTCCTGGACCCAGCAGTTTGAAATTCATGCCAGGTGTGTGTACATGAGCATCCAAAATCTTGAGAGGAGAAGGGATTGCAGTATGGTCATCCCCCCAGGGGTGATTTCTCACTTTTTCTTTCTCTGTCTCTTTCTCTCTCTGTCTTTTTGCCTTATAGCAAAAAAGAAAAGAAAAGAAAGAAAACACTCTGTAAAATAAATAAATATATAAATAACATTCAATACACACAACTGTTAACAGTCTTGTTATATGCCAGACACTGCCCTGGGACTAGGGATACAACAATGACAAGAGCTGGAACTTGTAACACTGAAGAGTAATTGCCCATTTAAATATGTTTTTCTCCTAGATCATGAAAATTTAGCATAGTACACATGGCAGCACATGTGAGTAACTAATAAAATGTTGGACTGAACTCAACTAGTTACATTGGGACCAGCAGTTGGCGTGATGGCTGCATAGCTGGACTCCCATGTAGTCAACTGCAGTTCAAGTCCCAGACCCAATGGCTTAAACTCACGCTGGGTGCATGTGCGTGCGTGCCCAAGATCCTGAGAGGAGAATGGAGAAGGGATTGCAGCGTGGCCATCCCCCTGGGGGGTGATTTCTCTCTTTCTGTCTCTCTCTGTCTTTCTGGTGAGTGCATGCGCTCTATAGCAAAAACCTCTCCATAAAAAAGGGGACAATTAGTTACCTTAACTTGGAAGGTTAATCAACAGGAAGTATGAGGGAGAGCTGGGGAAAATGGGAAAAGGGACTTTGAAAGTTATTCCTGAGGACTCAACAAGTCA